ACTGAGACAGAAGCGAGCATTTAGGAGAATCACAAAATCAGGGGGTCATAGATGCTAGGAAAGGAGAAAGGTATGATATCAGAGGAGCAGAGTGTCAGAAGCCACGAGATGAAATAAAAGAAAGACCAAAACCATCTGTTAGTCTGGGAAGGTGAAGGAAAGGTGATTAATCTTAGATGAATGTCCTTTCAGTGGTATAATGGGGGCAGGAGCTAGATTACAGGGAGTGGATGGGGAAAGGAGGAAGGGAAACAGCCTACCCTTGCTTTCAAGAAAACCAACTAGATGAAAGGAGAGAGGTCTTGGTAGCAAGGGGGACCAGAGGTCAAAGGAGGCTTCTTTCCTCATTTTGTTTGCATGAAAAAAATCTGTGTATATTGGTCCTGGGAGTCCATGGCATGGGCTTTCCTAACAACTGAAAACCTTAGAGAAAACAAGATGTTTCTTTTGATATGTAAATACTTAATCTTTCTCTTGATCCAAGATTGGCTCTGCTTATTTTGTGTTCTGTTCTACCACAAAAAATACAGTGTCATTCTTCTATAACTGTTTTGCTATATTAGAAGGATTAGAATGTGTCAGAAGTTAATGAATTAGTGTCGTATATTAGATGTTTAGTCTGTCCATATACAGCTTTACCTTTTTCAAGGAAGGGTACATCAAGCTGAATTCTAATTCCCAATGTGTTTTTCTTAGGGAGCAATATTTAGAGCACACACAAAACACTTTATGTGACAGCTACCCCTTAAGTTTGGGTGTAACAATGGAAGGAGTCGAGGTTAGCAGAATGTATTATTGTAGTAAAACAATAATTTATGCTAAAGATTCTCCTCTTAAGATGGACTGTCTTTCTAAAGGACTAGTTAATTAGCAGGCATAGTGCTCACTTAAGTCTCCTTGACTTTTTTTTTTTTAATTGCCAGGGGTTACATGCATGCACCAGAAAGAGACAGAGAGAGAGAAAGTACCCTTCTAAACCCTCCCCCACCCCTCTACTTCCCACAGGGGGACATGGTCATGCCACAGTACCTTCTCTTCCAATTCTCCATCCTCTTAGAATTTTGACCATCTACACACATGCAGCCAGTGCGTTTCTTAAGCCTCTGGAGACAGGAATCAAACTGCTGTCAGCCCTGAGGTATCCAGCTCCCTTAACTACTAGAATACAGGACAAGCCTGCTTCATATTTTTAGTCTGTTGTATTACTCATTGTCATTAGGTTCCATAGGACAGAAACACAATTCTAAATTAAGGAAAAAACATTTGTTAGCTCTTGAAACCGAACTATGACCAAGTCAAGCTTTTATAAAGTCAAGCTGTTTCAATGATCGAGAACCAGGAACTATTTATTTATTTATTTATTTATTTATTTATATCTATCTATCTGTCTATCTATCTATCTTTCTTTCTCTGTCAACTTTGTTTCTTTCCTCATGTTCTACCACTGCAAACTTGACTTCTTCTTGGTGCTACACCAGTAGAATCCAACAACTTCTAGACTCATGTTCTCATTACCAGGAGAGAGGAAAAGACTTCCCCCTTGCTCTAGAACTTTGATTGGTCTTCTTGGATGATATGCCTATCCCACCCTTCCTCAACCCCTAGATCTGTATGACCAGAAGGGCTAAACTACGATTAGTCCAGCGGGGATATTTCCATCATATGCCAGGTCACTGACCAATAGGCAGGGTCATATCAGGAGATAGCATTGCTTTTGAAAATTTTTGCCATGGGGTATGTACACTTGCCAGAGCGACAGAGACAGTGAGAGGGGAAAAACTCACCCCCTCAACACTCCCGAGGATGGCCACACCATAGTCCCTTCTCCTGCTTTCTTCTCGTGAGATTTGGGGCACATACGCACATGGGTCCAGTATTATTTTCAATCTGCTGGGTCCGGGACTCAAACCCATGAAGTTGACCATGTCGGATCCAGTGCCTTAGCCTCCATGACACCTACTGGCCCTATACCCAATTCTTAATGGTATTGAAAGTACAATTTTTTAAAAAGGATTATAAGACCTTGCCCAGTTTTAGCAAGTGTTTTTGTATGATATTTAAATTGTGTTCATAAATCAGTTATTCCCAATTTATTAAAGTTAAGACTTTGTATATTCCTTATGCTACCACTAAATCTCATGTTGTCGATGTAGTTTCTCTTAAAAAATAGAAACTTTTAAAAATTTTCATCTCTTTAAATCCAGGGGCTCTCTTAATAATTACATACTCTATTGGATGGTATATGCTCCAATAGCCTAAATCAATGTCTTAAAGTGTCTTTTTGGTTTTTTGTTTGTTTTCTTGTTTTTATAGGGCATGTATACTCATCAGAGAAAGAGAGAGACAGAGAGAGAGGGAAAATGAGAAAACATCCCCTAGGTGGCATAGCCATACCAAATCCCTGCACCTCCACTCTTCTCTTAGCATTCTGGACATGCCATATGCTTCAGGCATGCTTTTCGTTTTTGTTTTATTTTTTAAATTTTATTTTTTTTAATATTTTTTCCCCACATTTTATTGATTCACAAAATACCTTAACTAAAACTATGGACAATGCTAGAATCTAGTTACATGTTCACTGTAATTTTCTTCTGAAACATTTTAAATTAATTAATTAATTTACATTCATTCCCTGAGCATTGTCACAGCATACAAAATGTGATTTCCCATCCAAAATATACTTTATAGTGGCTTAATCATACATGTTATAGTCATTAATTTTCCATTTCTAGTTTCATATATATTACATGTGTATGTATATATATATTTTTTTTAACCCCTATTTCCCACCCTCCTCCCACACTATCTTAGGTATCTATAGTTGTTTTCCATTCCTTCCCCCCCCCACACACATTTTATTGATTCACAAAATTTCTTAAGTAATCTACTACTTTCAATAGCAAGTTTAACTGGTATGTTCATATCAGTTAATACATGTCTGACTTTAGGTATGAAACTCTGAGTAGAATGAATATACTATAAGATAACAGCTACCTGATGGTATAAAGCTTACTATGGTCATTAAAAATGTATTTTTAAATATATTTTTAATTTCAAGAAAAGCAGCTTTGGTTTTAATAAATCAAAGAAATATTAAGGAACTATGCTTAAAACTTAAAGCCAAGAAAGGTTGGGATTCTGTTCAAATAATAGTACACAAACCTAATAGCAGCTAAAGACAGGACAAAAATCCTTAAAACTGGAAAACAAAACCTAGAAGAAAATCAGCAATCTTTTAGTCAAAAGTCATAAAATGCTATTTCACCAGTTCAGTCTCACGTACTTAATCTATCTTCTGTTGTGGTCCAATCTTCCTGAATAAATTCTGGGATATAATATTAAACTCCAGACGTGCCTCTATGATTCAGTTGGCCATTTTGTTAGTTTTGTAACTCTTATTTCCATGTGTCTGTATTTAATTTTCCTAGTATAGCACTCACTTGAGAACTTCTTGGAGATCTGGTCTGGTGTTGGTAAATTTTTTGAGGTTTTGTTTATCTGAGAATATTCTTGCCTTTTCTTCCCATATGAAGGATAATCTTGCCAGGTACAGTATTCTTGGTAGCAATTGCTTTTCCATGAACACTTTGAATATATTTTCCCATTCTTTCGTTGCTCGCATTGTTTCTGATGAGAGAGCTGCTGATAGCATGATGGGGTATCCTTTGTAGGTAACTTGCCGTTTCTCTCTTGCCAATCTTAGTATCTTGTCTTTGTGGTTTTGGTCAATCTGGCTATAATGTGTCTTGGGGAAGATCTTGGGTTGTTCTATTTGGGGTTCTCTGTATTTCTTGGGACTGAATCTTTGAGTGCCTCTCTAAGTTTGGAAAGTTTTCTTGCAGAATTTCATGGAATAGATTATCAATGCCCTTATGAGTCCCTTCGCCTTGTGGGTTACCAATTATCCAGATGTTTGGATGTTTGATGGTGTCTAGTATTTCTCATATATTATTCTCATTTTGGGGGGGCCATTTTCTCAGTCTTCATGGTGAATTTTTCTAGGTCAGCGATTCTATCTTCTACATCTGAGATTCAATTTTCTGTATGATCTGGTCTGCTTTTAATACTTTCAGGGGAGATTTTCACTTCCTGTATTATAGCCTTCATCTCTAACAGGGCCATTTGATCCTTTTTTAGAGTGTGTATTTTCTCTTTTAGATCTTGCAAGAATTTCTCATTGTCTCTCTTCTCTTCCATCTCTGTTAGCTTTGTCATTATGAATATTCTGAAATCCTTATCAGACATTTCCATGGGTTTCATTGTACTGTCTGAGGATGAAGAGGTATTACTCTTTTCCCTTGGAGGATAGATATTTTCTTGCTTTCCCATATTCCTTGTGATCCTGTGGTGATTTCTAGTCATCTGACGGATGGTGTGTTTCTCCCCAATTCTTGAAGTTCAATCTGAGCGTTCAGTGCCAAGCAGAAGGAATTGATCTGCAATCTTTCTTCTGTTTTGTTTTCATTCTTTGTGCATCAGATTCAGTGTGAAGAGAAGAATATTCTGACTGTAATTATATTCAGATGATTGGAAACTGTTCACTTGGACCTGTCTAGACACTTAGTATGCAGAGGTAGAAATGAGTCTGGAGGGGGAAGTCTTAGCAGAAAATTTTCATTTTTGGTCAAGCAAACCAATATTTCACAGCTGAAGTACAGTATCCATGTTAGGATAGGCCTGGCTTCGCTGGTGCCTTTCCCTCTAGAAATGAGTCTGGAGGGGGAAGTTTCAGCAGAAAATCTTCATTTTTGGTCCTCAGGCATGTTTTTCAAACCACCAGGTCTGGGATTTGAAACATAAAACTTCATGTGGGATCCAACAGCCTTAACCACCACACCACTGGTTGGCTGCTTACAGTGGTTTCTAATCCACTAAAGATTTATACGTTTATTTGCCTGTTATCCTCTATTCTGGTTAGAAAGGAAAAAGGTATGCAAAATAGAAGTTATAGAAATATTCATTTTATTTACATTCTTAGTAATTCCTTGATATTATTTCAGATGAGAAGAAACAGATGGTCGCAAATGTGGAGAAACAGCTTGAAGAAGCAAAAGAACTGGTACGTACAGACTTACTACAGATTGAGTTTACCAAATCTAAAAATCCAGATACTGAAATACTTCTATAAAATCTAAAACTTTTTGAGTTCTGACATAACACCACAAATAGAAAATTTTACACCTGATCTCATGTGATGGGTCACAGTCAAAACACTGCAATACAGAAATAATTACAAAATTATCTTTAGGTATGTTTATAAGATGTATTTGACACACCTTATAAATTCATAAGTGAATTTAATGTTTAGGCTAGGGTACCATCCCTTAAATATCTCATTGTATAAATATTCCAAAATTTGAAAAAGTTCAAAATTGAAAACACTTTTGGTCTCAAACACTTCAGATAAGGGATATTCAGCTTAATGTATTTTAACACAGCCAGAGCCATTCAAACTGCTGTCCACTAGCCTGTCTTTTTACATTGTAGAAATGTACAACATTACTGATTACCATTTATGTTTTAGAATTTATCAACTTTGGGGCGTGGTGGCACCTGCCTGATGGGAGAATTTGTCAGCTTTTAAATTAAGGAAATTTAATAGCTTGTTGGGATTTTTTTGTTCTTTTTTTTTTTGGAGAGGTTTTCACTATAGGGCGCTTGCATTCACCAGAAAGACAGGCAGAGACAGAGAGACAGAAAGTGAGAAATCAGCCCCCAGGGGGGATGGCTACGCTGCAGTCCCTTCTCCTCCATTCTCCTCTTGGGATCTTGGGCACGCACGCACATGCGCCCGGCGTGAGTTTAAGTCACTGGGTCCGGGATTCGAAATGTGATTGGCTACATGGGAGTCCAGTGACAGTCATTACGCCAACTGCTGGTCCCGGGATTTTGTTTTTTTTAATAAAGGTGGGTTACTAAATGTTTGTCTCTAATTTTCATTCCTTCATACTACTTGTCCTAAGAGTTATAAATAGCTAATGCTTTATAAAAGCATACTGGGTACCAGATACTGGGTTAAGCATATTTTATAATATTAAGTTTTCTCAAAAGCCCTGTGAGGCAAGTACTACTTGCCAAAAACTTAAGAGTCTGAGATTTTCCCCTACTTGCAAACTAGTAAGTAGGCTTGTCATTTCTTGGATGTTTATGGAAGACATGGGACTCCTAGGTCAGAGACTTTTATTACTCACAGCAAATGCAGGTGCCAGTGTCAGCCTCGTTGCATCAGTTTGCTGAGCACCCACTCTACAGGCGAGATGCAGGTACTCCTAGATGTATGTGTACATAAGTAGTGGACCATCTTACAAGCGAGGAACATGTAGCCTGTGAGATGTGCCACTTTCTAGCAACTCGTGACTAAGCCTGCTACCGAGGTTGCTCTCAGCGATCACAACCCTGAGAAAAGACTCAGACAGAGCCTTCCAGACCTCGCATTCTTGGCATATCCAGTAAGACATAGCAGAATGATTCTCAACACTTATTCCTCCCATTGTGTAGATGGGAAATGAAGGCTTAGAGTTAGTAATTTGAGTTCCCATATTCTGTTAAGTGCTGAAGCAAGGATTTGTTTATAGATAGGTTAAACTCGGGGCTCTAGCTCATCCACCACTGCGTTTTTATATAAATAAATTCATAAATCAGGGAGACAAAACAGTACTAAAGGAAAGATTCTCAGATTTTCCTTTAGAAAGCTAAGTACCTCAAAGTGTGTTTCAACTTGTTTCTAAGCATTGGTCCTAAGTGACTGTGTTGTTTTTCTAAATACCCAGGGATACTAGTTGGTATTTTTGTCAGTACTACTTACTGATATCCTTAGGACAGTTTCCCAAAGAGTGTTTTGTTAACTGGTTTTACCTGCGCAAATAAGTTTGGGAAACTGTAGTCTAGATAGAGTTGGGAGGTGGGACCTCTTCCTTTTTCAGAACCTTCAGACCCTTTTTGGATCTGTTAGTAAGCTAAAAAGCTGCATGAATCTCTGAGATGGAACTAGAGAAAACAGCTAGACACTGGAGCATTCCTAAGCTTATTTTAGAAATATTTGTTAACAGGACCATACATCAGAGTTGTAGCTTTGGGTGTTATTTTTTTTTTCTTTTTTCTTTTTGGAGAGGTTTTTGCTATAGGGCACGTGCGCTCCCCAGACAGACAGAGAGAGACAGAGAGACAGAAAGTGAGAAATCACCCCCCAGGGGGGATGACCACGCCGCAATCCCTTCTCCTCCATTCTCCTCCCAGGATCTTGAGCACGCACGCACACACGCCCGGCATGAGTTTTAAGCCACCGGGTCCAAGACGCGAACCGCGGTCGACTACGTGGGAGTCCAGGGACATAGCCATTACGCTAACTGCTGGTCCCAGCTTTGGGTGTTATTAAGGAATGGGTAGTAGTCGTTCCTCATTGAAAAGTAAACTTTTCCCCTGTGTCTTTGACTTGGTAAGGTATGGAGCTACAGAGCTGCTGCTCTGACTTCTCTGTATCTGGTTCTTTTATAGCCGGAAGACTGAGGCTGGGGCCAGTAGGTGGCGTGGTGTTAAGGCACTCTATTCCCACATGGCCTACTGTGGCTCAAGTCTTGGACCCCGTGGCTTGAAACTCATGCTGGGTGCACAAGCGTACATGCCCAGAAATCTAGGGGAGAAAGGAAGAGAAGGCATTGGTAGCCATCCCCCTGGGTGGTAGTTTCTCATTTTTTCTTTCCCTGCCTCTTGCTGGGTCTCCAGCAAGTTCACGTGCCCTATGTCACAAACTTTAAAGAAAAAGAGTATGTGAGGCGCTCCATACCCTGTGCAATCTACACCTCATCCCTGTTGGCAGCTGTCACTTTATTTTTGTTTTCTCTCTCATCCATTTATAATTTAGTTTTAAGTGTCCTGTAATGAATACGCCTTAAATGAAGATGTATTTTCAGATTTTGACTCAAATTAACTTATTGTATGTATTTTTCTGGATATTGTGACTGGTAGAACTAAGTACTTGATTTCAGAGAGATGCTTTAAATAATTGCCTTGCTAAGTGACAATTTAAGTTATTGGCGTTTCATATTTATGTTGAAACATATTTATAGTTAAATAATTACTGTTTAAATCAAGGCTAATTAAAATTTTATTTTTTCATTATAAAAGTTGAGGTCTGGTAAATGAAATGTGATATTCTTCTTTATGTATAGTCTACTGTTTTTTTTAGTCTTTAACATCAGACAGTAGAATTTTATCAGTGATACACTTACAGTTTTTATGGAAATAGCTTATTAGAATGCTTCAAGAGGCAACATTGGTGAGAACATTTTGTGTGTGAGTTTTTCAGAAATGGCATGGGCCAGATTTTTCTTGGAACCAGTATTTATTTTATTTTATTTTATTTTATTTTATTTTCTATGACAGGGTCTCGAAGTGTTGCTGTCTTTTTGCCTCAGTCTCCCAGCTGCTATTGCAATTATGTGCCACCATACCCAACTCTCTCTCTCTGTCTTTTTTCTTTTTTCAAAGTCCACTTATCCTTTTCTTTTCATGGGACAGACAGACAGACACAGGCAGGTACCATTGACAGGACCTTGCCATCCTTCAGTTCTTTTCCTAGTCTCTTAGCTGGTCAGGGTCACAGGCACACAGGGTCATGCCTGACCTATCAAAGCAACTGAGGATCTTAACCAGGGCATCCCATGGGGTTCCTGCATCACATAGCAGTGCCTCCTGATAACACCACCATGGCTGGACCACTCGGGGCTCCTTTTTAGACAGAGTTTTGCTTGATTGCCCAGGCCAGCTTCCTGCTCGTGATTCTTCTGACTTAGTCTTCTGAGTCACTGGGATTTTAGGTGCACACCATCAGCCCAGCCTTTAGGTTGAATTAGAAATCAAACCTGGGCTCCCGTGTGATCCCGCCCATGGAGTACCATGTCCTATTAGCATACACCACCAAGGCTGGGCCATGGTTTTTATCTTTGAATGCTACAAAGAAGTTATCTTTGGCACTTTGTGTAGTGTTTGCCGCATTCTTCATCATCATTACTCTAGTTAACATTAGCCTAATAATCACCAAGTAAAAGACACTATTCTAAGCATGGTATAGGAATTACTTCCCTTAATCTTCACAGGTGCTCTACGGCAGAAATACTATTTTAGAAATGACAAAAATAAGCAACAGAGATGTTAAGAAACCTGTCCAATGTAAATGACTAATAAGTAGAATGTGACTCCAAAGTCTGTATTCTAAACCATTACAGTACATTTCCGTACTGCTGCCTATTCAGCTTGCATGTGTTGTTCCCAGAGTATATGTGATAATAGATTATTAAAAAGTAACGAGCTGTGATTTCAGGGAGCTATGTGTAATTGAGCATTCAAGTCCTTATTAGCATGGTTATAAAGTATAAGGAATTAAGACTGGAGGCTGAGATTGCATGTCGTTAGTATGTGACTTTTCTACTTAGAAAAGACCTTCCAGAAGAAATTTCACCAAATAATTAAGGCTGGGCTGATATTTCATGGATTAGCAATAGAAATAATTATTTGAAATATCCTCCCAAGTTCTGCAGGTTCATGACTAGGAGACCATACCTGGTTGGATTGAATGATGCCTACTCCAAGGATATTGAAATCAAATTTTTAAGACTGGGTTAATGTATGTGTTTTAAAAGAAATTATCTTTTTTTAAATTATTTATTTAATTTTATTTATTACTATTACTCTTCAGTTTGACCAAAGAAAGACAGAGACAGGGAGAGAGAGAGAGCCACAGAGAAAGAGAGAGAGAGAGAGAGAGCCACCAGATTGGTGACTTGAACTATAGCCAGCCATGTGGGAGTCCAACACCTTAACCACCACACCACCTGCCATCCCCAAAAGAAATTCTTGTCTAAGTAAGCACTTTGGCACTCTGTGAGCCATTGGCAAGTACTCAGTAACTATTCAACAAAACAAAAATTAAAAGCAAAAGTAATTCCAATGTTAATTTGATCACCCAGCACTTTGGGCCTGGTTCCTCAACTGTAAAATTGGGAATTGGAATTAAATTCTTCCAGCTCTAAATGGTTGGTCATATAGAGTATACATATGGTTTAAAAAGTGGTTTTCTTTCTCTTTTCTAGCTTGAACAGATGGATTTAGAAGTCCGAGAGATACCACCCCAAAGTCGAGGACTGTACAGCAACAGAATGAGAAGCTATAAGCAAGAAATGGGAAAACTTGAAACAGACTTTGTGAGTCAACTTCCATCCCTTGTTATGGTTACTGACTTTTCAATTGGATTTTCACTTTGTTTTTTTTTAATTTCTTTTTCATACCTCCATCATCATAAAATTAATACTTTTCAAGAGCTTCTGAAAAAGACAATAAGCGGCTTTTATTGTTCATGAATTAGGGATCTAAAAAATGGTTATATATAGGGCTAATGATGAAGTTTAAGGTACATTGGGTTGATGACTCACAGTAGGTTCAATCATGTGGTCCTTTGGGTCACAATAGGATTTATTGGTATTTAACATTGATTAGAATTTTGAAACCCAGTTTCTAGGATTACAGAATTTACAACTTTTAATGCAGTATGGATGGATGGACTTAAGGATTCATGAATCTCCTGAAAGTATGTCTGTATTTTCATATGCACATTTCCATGTTCATCTTTTATCTCAGATAAACTCCATAGATTTCACTAGTTCTTGAAAGGGTATACTATGCCCTTCCCCTAAAAAGGTGAGAAGAACTACACTTTTATTTAATCATTTCTTCCTTTATACTGATTTCTCATGTGACTATTTAGCTTTCTTTTCTTGTATATCTGGCTTTCAATTCTACCCACTCTATCACAGTTTTTTTACAGAGCTTTTTTGCTTTAGGGTGCATGCACTTGCCAGAGAGACAGAGAGACAGAAAGTGTGTAAATCACCACCACCACCACTCCCTCCCCCCCGGGGGAAGGGCCACATCACAATCCCTTCTCCATTCTCCTCTTGGGATTTTGGGCAGGCACATACATGTGCCCAGTGTGAGTTTTAAGCCACTGGGTCCAGGACTCGAACCCCGGTCAATTACATGGAGTGCAGCAATGTAACCATTACACTATCTGTTGGTCCCTTTTCTTTTTTTAATTTGATAAAAGTATTATATACTTGCCAGAGGGAGATGGAAATCAGGGGTGGGTGAGAGAAAGTACTCCCCATTGGGGATGGTTATGCCACAATTCGTTCTTTTCCATTTCTTCTTTTAAAATTTTAGTCATGGATATACTTGTGCCTGGTACGTTTTTCAGGCTGTTGGGTCCAAGATTTGAACTGCACACTTTGCTATGTAGAATCCAGGTACCTTAACCACCATATCACCAGCTGGCCCAGGAAGTGTAAAAATATAAATTTAAAGGCATAATGTTAAAATTGTTAGTAGTGAGGCTGGCAGGTGGTGTGGTGGTTAAGGTGGTTAAGGAGTCCCACATGGCTAACCGTGGCTTGAGTCCCAGACCTGGCAGCTAGCTTTTTCATTTTCTCTTTCTCTCTCTCTCTCTGTCCCTCTCTGAAAAATTAAAATAAATAAATAAATAAAGTTAAATAAGATCATTCTTTTAAAAAAAATTGTTAGTAGTTCGAAATTAACAGAAGTAGAAAGGATCTAATTGAGCAGTTCACTTCTGGTTATATATCCAAAAGAATAGACAGCAAGGTATCAAAAAGAATATGAACATCCATGTTCATAGCAGCATTTTCACAATAGCAAAGAGATGGAAAAAACCTAAGTCAGTGGACCAGCAGTTGGCATAATGGTTATGTCACTGAACTCCCACATAGTCGATCATGGTTCAAGTCCCTGTCCCGACCGCTTAAAGCTCACACCAATCACGGTGCATGTGTGCCCAAAATCCCAAGAGGATAATGGAGAAGAGGGATTGCGGCATGGGCATTGATTTCAAATGAAAATTGAGGATGTTATTCTAAGTGCAATTAAAAAAAGGCACAAAATTTCTGTGTATGTGAAATATCTAGAGAAGTCAAATTTATAGAAACGCAGAAAGTGGAATGGTGATTGCCAGATACTGTGGGGAGGGCAAAAATGAGAATTGTTGTTTTAAGAGCATAGGGTTTAGGTTTGTAAGATAAAAAGTTCTGGACATTGCTGCTCAACAGTGTGAATATATTCAATACTACTGGATTGAGCTGCAATAGCACAAACTGGTAAATGCTGCTACTTGGCCAGGTAAAACCACATGGGGGGCCCAGGTTTGATTCCCTGCCCACCCTGTAAGCCATGCACAGTGGTATATACCTATAAACCTAGCTGCTTAGGAGGCTGAGGCAAGAGGATTGCAACATTGTAAAAGCTTGTCTAAAAAATAAAATATTGGGAACCAACGGTTAGCGTAATGGCTATGTCGCTGGATTCCCACGTAGTCGACCATGGTTCGCGTCACAGACCCGGTGGCTTAGAACTCACGCTGGGCGCGTGTGCGTATGTGCCCAAGATCCCGAGAGGGGAATGGAGGAGAAGGGATTGCGGCGTGGTCATCCCCCCTGGGGGGGTGACTTCTTGCTTTCTGTCTCTATGTCTCTGTCTGTCTGGCGAGCACACGCGCCCTATAGCGAAACCTCAAAAATAAATAAATAAATAAATAATAAAAATAAATAAATAAATAAAATATTGAAAATAATTTTAAAAATTCAACACTACTGAACTGTATAAGATTTTATGTTATGTGTATTTTACCATAGTTTAAAAAGATAAAAACAACATTTATTTATTTATTTTAGTTTTTGCTATAAGGTATATGTGCTCACCAGAGACAGAGAAAGGGAGAAGAAAAAATATGAGAAATCATCCTCTAGGGAGGATGGCCACAATGCAGTCCCTTCTCCTCCGTTTTCTTCTAGGAGTTTTGGGCATGCACACACACATGCCCAGTGTGATTTCAAGCTGCTGGGTCTGGGATTCGAACTGCACAGTTGCCCATCTGGGATCCAGCTTCCTTAACCTCCATGCCACCCACTGGCCCAAACAAAATATTTTTTAAATACTGATAAGGGTAAAGAAGTTAACACAATGACTCCCAACAGCTCTTGTATAGGCTGGCACAGGAAATTAGGATTTCAGCAAATAAATTAAATTTCATTTCATTCACATTTAAAAAAAAAAGTTACAGATGAGGAAAGATCTGATATTTACCTGTGAATGACTGAAATCATGTGTTGGCACATAAATCTACTGCATTTCTGAATCTGGGGTCCAAACTCATATAAAGTCAAGAGTTTATAAGGATCTTGCCACCTGTGTTTCTGCCTTGGGTGTTTTACTTTTGGAGGTTTCGCCTTCTAGGCTACATGTACCTTTCCACCACAAGGCCAATGGCAGTAGAAACTCCTGCTAGAGTCTGGAAATAGGATGGTTTATAGTTATGCATGGTTTTTTATAACAGCTCTTGTATAGGCTGGCACAGGAAATTAGGATTTCAGCAAATAAATTAAATTTCATTTCATTCACATTTAAAAAAAAAAGTTACAGATGAGGAAAGATCTGATATTTACCTGTGAATGACTGAAATCATGTGTTGGCACATAAATCTACTGCATTTCTGAATCTGGGGTCCAAACTCATATAAAGTCAAGAGTTTATAAGGATCTTGCCACCTGTGTTTCTGCCTTGGGTGTTTTACTTTTGGAGGTTTCGCCTTCTAGGCTACATGTACCTTTCCACCACAAGGCCAATGGCAGTGGACCTAGTAGAAACTCCTGCTAGAGTCTGGAAATAGGATGGTTTATAGTTATGCATGGTTATTTATATTTTAGTAAATATTATCCTGTAAAGTTGAGATGAACTATATCAGTCACTCTGATGCAATTGCCTTTTTAACTGTGTTCCTATTTTATTTTTTAAAAATTAAAATACATAATGAGCCTAAACTGATAAATATAAATGCCTAGCTTCTGTGCTCTGTACTAGATAAGACCCCTTCTCCTATTGCTATGTGAAAGGATTTTTTTTTTTTGCATTCAGAATATGAGGTATAGTGAGAAAATTGAATTGAGAACTTGTCAACTGAACTTTATACTTAGAAAATTCTAACTAGAGGTTTAATAATAAGTGAGGAAAGTAAAATAAGGTATTTTAAGGGTTGTTTAAAGGTCATTTATCTCATTTTAATGAACTCTTTCTGAAGATTTTTGTTGTGAATTTTTGGAAAACTAAGTGTATTAGTTTGCTAGGGCTAACATAACATGTTCTACAGACTGGTTGGCTTCAACGACAGGAATTTAGTTTTTCATAATTCTAGAAGTTGGAAGTCTAAGACTAATACGTTGGGCAGGTGGGTTCCTTGATTTGTAGGTAGCTTCTTCATTGTCTCTATCCTTGATTTGTAGATAGCTTCTTCATCGTCTTCATATGGTCTTCCTTCTCTCCATGTTAGTGTCCTAATTTTCTGTTTCTGTGAGGACACTAATAATATTGAATTAAGGCCCACCCTAATGACTTCATTTTAACTTAATTATCTCATTGAAGACCCTATCTCCAAATAAAGATAGACTTAAAAGATGGTTGTATTTACCAACTTTTCAACTTTATGATCACAAAAGCAATATATATTTAGGAGAAAGTGCTTCAAATTCCCATACAAATTTTTGGTTTTCATTTTAGTGTGGTACAGTAATTTACATGAGATACTTAAGAGTTTATTATAAAATAGGCTGTGTTAGATTATTTTTTGCCCAACTGTAGGCTAATGTAAGTGTTCTAAGCATGTTTAAAATAAACTAGACTAAGTAAATGTTCAGTAGGTTAGGTATATTAAATGCATTTTCAACTGATGATACTTTCGACTTATGATAGGTTTACAGGACATAACCCCATTCTAAATTGAAGAGCATCTGTACAGTTACATTCTCAGTGTGAGGGTTAGGACTTTAATATATGAATTTGGGGAAGACAAAATTCAGCCCATAGCATTGAGAATATTTTTCATCTTAAAAATTTTTCAGTAGTGAGCCAGCTGGTGGCATGGTGCTTAAGATGGCTGGATCCCACATGACTGACTATGTGGTTCAAGTCCCAAACCCAGCGACTTGAACATGCAAAATACACACATGTGTATATTCCCAAAATCTCAAGAGGAGGATGGAGGAGAAGGGATTGTGGCATGGCCATCCCCTCTGGTTGGATGGGTGTGGGGGGGTATTCTCACTCCACCCCTTTTCCCCAGTGAGGACATATCCATAGTAAATTT